ATAGAGGTTCTTTCACGGATTACAGTGCACTCATGTGATTCCATATTTGGGGATGCGGAAACGAGACTTCTGATGCACATCACAGGCTTACTCCCATGGCTCTGCCTGCAGCTCAGTAAGGATCCACTGACAGGGCCAGCTTCACCACTCCAGCAACAGCATCAAAAAGCATGCTCAGTTGCATCTAATATTCATATCTGGTGTCGAGCAAAATCATTGGACGAATTAGCTACTGTTTTTATGGCATACTCTCGAGGTGAGATCAAAAGTATCGAAATTCTTCTTGCTTGTGTCTCCCCTCTACTTTGCAACGAGTGGTTTCCAAAGCACTCTGCATTGGCTTTTGGTCACCTACTACGTCTGCTGGAGAAAGGACCAGTCGAATACCAGCGCGTAATACTCCTAATGCTGAAGGCATTGCTCCAGCATACTCCTGTAGATGCTTCTCAAAGTCCACATATGTACGCAATAGTCTCACAGTTGGTGGAGAGTACGTTATGCTGGGAGGCATTGAGTGTATTAGAAGCACTTTTACAGAGTTGTAGTTCAATGACAGGTCCACACCCACACGAACTAGGGTCCTTTGAAAATGGACATGGTGGAGTTGAGGATAAGATGCTTGCTCCTCAGACATCGTTCAAGGCTCGCAGTGGGCCCTTACAATATGGCATTGTATCATCAACTTCTGGACCGGGTTCCATCCTCGCGCCAGGGGTTTCAAATGAATCAGGACCCTCACCGAGAGAGGTGGCTCTGCAAAACACACGACTTATTCTTGGGCGGGTTCTTGATAGCTGTATACTGGGAAAGAGGAGAGACTACAGAAGGTTGGTTCCTTTCGTCACAAGTATTGGGAATCCTTAACTCCACGTCTCTGTAAGTAACTTCTTTTATGTAGAGGCAATGTATATACACGTCAAAAAGTAGTTTTGTAGCTAGTCTTGAATTATGTTGTGTAGTTCTAGCCATCAGAGATCCTTTCCATTTACAAGTCACTATTTAATCTTTGTAAATGTAAATATATTTCCTTGCGAACAATGTTAATTTGTTTCCTATTTCCGTTCCCCTAAATTTTTGTTCCTCGGAGATAAATTCAACCTCTTTGATCATGGAAGCTGTGAGATGTAGTGGCACTCCCGGACATAATGTGCACAGCTCGAGTCCTATATGTTATTTGATATCAATCTTTTTAAACTATCTTTTATTCTACAAAAGATTTCAATTTAAGTAGGGGAGGGGTATATACATTATTCTTGGACACAACACTAACAAATGCATCCTCCGTAATGCTATGATTAGGAGTTGAAATGAACTAAACTCGAGGCTTCTTGAATGATATTGTTCTAGTCACCATTAATTTTTCTGTATGATTTCACTGGATTTAGTCAATTGTTTTGATGGAAGGATATCACTCAGAAGTAGAAATCTATGGTATCGAAGAATTTTCAGCCATTATTTATTTTATGGAATCAGTTAATGAACTTTGGCATCTTATTGAACACTCACGATAATATTGTTCCTCCTTTGGTTTCTTTATCTCCTTTGGTTTCTAGGAAGTAACATGATCCTCCAATAAGAAATCCACAAAATCTCGAACTTATTCGGATTTTCTTAAATTAAAAAACTTTCAGAAACTAAAAAGAGAAAAACTACTTCACACTGCATTTGAACTCGATGGCCTCAAATTAAACAATAAAGAATTAACATTGAAGTTTATATCAACTATTTTGCTTTGGGTTAATGCACAATAGTACGCAAGGTTACCATCAAAAGTTTGTAAGAAGCCCAGCTAGTTCATCCTATCATTTGTTGGGAGCTCATGACTCCATTGTGCATGTGGGATTGTTTGTGCCAATACTTCAAGAGTCTTCTTCCCACCAAAAGAAAAAAGAAAATACTTCTGATGTCCTAGTTAACAATCCAATGCCCATCATCATTCTCAACACTGACACTAAGAAAAGCCATAGGATTTGACCTCCTGATGCCCATTTTCTTCAATCCCTTCAACCTGTATGGTGTCTGTATCAGGCGCATACCCAGCCCTTCTCATATCACAAATCAGCACATCAAGCAGCTCGTAGATCTGTTTGCATTTTGGATGTGCTTTCTCACAAACAAGAAATGTATGTACTTCATCCTTAACCTCAATCCAGCTGCAACCTGGCTCCTTTTTCAAATTGTGATATCTCATTGTTTGTCTCATCTTTGAAACTTGTTGCCACATGCCTGCATCAGCATAGATATTTGATAGAAGGGTGTAAGCAGCCGAGTCTTCTGGCTCCAATTGCAAGAGTGAACCAGCTGCCTTCTCTGCAACTTCTACATTCCCCTGGATTTTGCAGATGCTAAGCAGAGTTCTCCATATAATTGCATCTGCTTCAAATGGCATGTCCTGTATGAGCTTTAATGCCTCCTCTACTTGGCCTGATCTCCCTAGAATATCCACCATACACGAGTAGTGCTCGAGTTGGGGGTCTAAACCATAGATACTTGCCATTTTGTGAAAATAACATTGGCCCTTCTCAGCATTTCCCACATGTGAACAAGCTCGAAGAACCGAAACAAAAGTTGCATGGTTTGGTTTCATATTCTCAAGGAGCATATGTTCAAAAATCTCAAGGGCCTCTTCCCCTAGACCGTGGTGAGCACATCCACAGATCATGGCATTCCATGTGACAGAATCCCTCTTGGGAGCTTTCTGAAACATAAGTAGAGAATCGTGCATATTTCCACATTTTGAGTACATGTCAACAAGAGTGCTTGTAATATACACATCTGATTGCAATTCCAGCTTGATAATTTGTGCATGGATTTGCTTTCCCAGTCCAACAGTAGCCAAGTTAGCACAAGCGTCCAGAACGGTTGCATAAGTAAAATTGTCAGGTTCTACACCCATTTCCAACATATGAGAGAAAAATTTTTGTGAATCTTCACTTTTCTTTTGCAGTGAAAATCCTGAAATGATTGCATTCCATGAGACCATTGTTTGTTCTTCCAGCCGGTAATGGATCTTTTCTGCCTCTTCCATCATTCCACATTTGCAGTACATATCAACGAGGGCACTTCCTACAAACATGTCCAGACCCATTCCAGATTTGATAATTCTTCCATGAACCTCCATGCCAGTGTTGAAAGCTTGCTGACCTGCACAAGCTTTTAAAACACTACCATATGTGAACTCATCAGGTTCCATCTTTGTGTGTAGCATTGTAGCAAAATGTGAGAGCGTTTCCCGGTCGCTTTCATTCTGTTCACAAGCTGTAATGATAGCATTCCAAGACACCGCATCCCTTATTTCCATTTCATCAAACATGCAAGAAGCTTCAACTAAGGCTCCACATTTGCCATACATATCCAGTATGGCATTTGCAACACAGATATTTGATGAAAAATTAGACTTAATGGCTAATCCATGTAGCTGAACCCCCTCAGAGAGCACTTTGATCACTGCAGCTGCACTCAATGCACCAGAAAGAGATATTTCATCGAAACTGAAACCGGTTTTCTGCAACTGAAGAAATAGCTTTAAAGCTTGAAACCCTTGCTGATTTCGAGCATACCCGATTATCATGGCATTGTAAGATTGCAAGTTATGGTCTGGTAACAAGCTAAACAGCTTGTGGGCATCAGACATGTTGTCACACTTAGCATACATATCCATAGTAGCAGTTCCTACAACAACATCAGATCCAAAATCAGCCTTCAATGCATGGCAATGCAACTGAGTACCTAATCTAGAGGCAGATAATCCTGCACAAGACCTGAAGACACTAGCATAAGTAGATTGACACACCCCAATTCCCCTTCTCTGCATCTCTTTGAATAGTTTAAGGCCCCTAATCAACTGATCATTTTGAACACAGCCTGCAATTGCAGCACTCCATGAAATCCAATTCTTATCTGGCAATTCAGAGAAAACACTAAGTGAATCCTCTAGTTTGTTACACTTGGCATACATATCTACTAGAGCACTTCCTGTCACAACATCATAATCAAAACCCATTTGGACTGCAATACCATGAATCTGAATTCCCAGAACGTAATTTTCCAACATGGAGCAAACTTTTAAAGAAACCGCCAGGGTAGTTTGGTCTAACAAAACTCCCATTTCTCTCATTTTCAAAAAGACAGCAATTGACTTATGTATGTCACCATTTTGCAAGTACCCAGAAATCAAAGAATTCCATGAAACCACATCACCATGATGAGGCATGGAATCAAACAACGCCTGCGCAACTTCCATCATTCCACCCCCTGCGCAGCCAAAAATCATGGTGTTCCAAGACACAATGTCCCTCTGCGGCATTTTCTCAAACACCTTAAATGCATACTCCAAAGCGCAACATTTAACATACAATTGAATTAAACAATTAGTTACAAAGACAGTGGGCTCAAACCCAGATAGAATCATGTGAGCATGAGCTTCTTTTCCTGGTTTCAGAGCTCTCCGGTTCGAGCACTCCTGAAAAATATGAGAGAAAGTCTTCCTGGTGGATGGGATTGTTTGGGTCGCAGAGAAAGTTGAAGCTGCACATAATTGCAGAAACTTGCTCGACGTTTCCAATGGGAGATATAAAGTTCTTACAGACCAAAAGCGAGAAAGAAAAGCCATCAACAATGGTACTCATGCTTTGGCGGGCCTTGGACGTTTGAACTTAGGCTTCACTTGCCTCTGCCATGGAGCTGTGCCCGCACATTTGCACGCTGCACTACTTAATAAAACAAATACAAATCTTATATTATATCTTTAAATTATACGTGTATATATATATAGTAGTATTTTTTAATTTTTTAAAATGTTAAAATGTATTAATTAAAAGTAATTTCAAAAAAAATTAAGATATTAATGCAATTTTGAAGGTATTTTTAAAACAAATTATTAATAAAAAAATCTTATATTCTTTTTTTTTTTTTTCCTTAAAAATTAATAATTAAATAAATTTCTGAATTTTAGTTTATTGAGAATGGAGAAGAAGGGGTATAAAAGCGTGACTTGGTCAAAATCCGCGAACGTCATTTCCCCCAAAATTTCTATGGATTTTCTCTCCATTCCTAAACTTAATCTTCAACCTAACGTGGCTCTTCCTGATCAAACCCACTCCGATTCTCCTTCTCCGGTACCGTCTGTCCCATCCCTCCGCCGCGACGATCTCCCCAACACCATGGATTTCAACCCCTTTGCCACTATCTCCTCCATCGTCACATCTGCCGACGATTCCTTCCCTTTCGACACCGATTGGTTTTCCGACGCGGATTCCGAGTCCGAGCGTGATGTTAGTTGCTTCGTGACTGATCTTTTTGAGAATCGTCGCTTCACCGATCATTTGCACGCTTTCAGCGATTACGATCGAGGTCTGGATTCTGGGCCAGACCCATTTACGCATTCTGCTAACGACTTGGGCATTTCGGGATTTGAAGATACCGGTGAGATTGAATCTCACTATATTGAGGAGCTGTGGTCGGCTTTCGCTATGGAATCTGATAGCCGGGTTTCGGAGGTGGATGTGAGCATGCCAGTTGCGGATTCGACTACTAGTGGCCTTCGGATTGTTGATGTGGATTCGGACTCGGAGTCTGATAACGGGATGATTGGTGCTCTGCAACTCGTGACAGGGGATGATGGCGAGAATGATGCTAATTGGGTTGAAAATCCGAATCCTCTCTCGGATAGCTTCAGCTTTTGCTTTCAGGGCCAGAGGATTCCGTACGAGGATTTTGAATGGGAGGAGGTCGAGGAACGGGTGGACGAAAGGGATAATTTGAGCGCAGTGGTAGATGGAGCTGAGGAATTGTCTCTTGCATCGGGTTTTTCCAACGAAGAAGAAGCGGGTGAAGAAGCGGGTCGATGGGAAATCCTATTGGTAATGAACGATATCGTAAGGAATACGAACTGGGAACGGGATAACGATGCTGAGGCGTACATAGCGGACCAGGATGATTACATGTATGCAGGAGAATACGATACCCTTTTTGGACAATTCGTTGAAAATGAGAATGCTTTGAAGGGTAGTCCTCCAGCAGCTAAGAGTTCTGTGGAGAACCTTCCTCTGGTTGAGTTAAAAACAGAGAATCTGCTGACAGAGGAACTCGTTGCCTGTGCCGTTTGTAAGGATAAATTTTCAATGGAGGAAAAGGTGAGGAAGCTCCCCTGTGCTCACTATTACCATGATGATTGCATTCTGCCGTGGCTGAATATTCGAAACACATGTCCTGTTTGTCGATATGAGTTGCCAACCGATGATCCAGATTATGAGCGCAGGAAGAGTCGGAGGGCGGGTGGTGGCCTGCAAACGGATTTGCGGGTCAGGTACAATTTTGAACTGATAGCTTAAGATTAGTCCAATCTGTGAAATGCAACCTGTGAATAGCGTCACTTTTAGATGAAGAAAGTTGCTTACGATTTTGCATTTGTAAAGGTTTTGTGGTAAGATTTCTTTTAAAAGTTCTCCTCCTGGAACAACTAGCATTGCTGTTGATACGCTCAAATTGTCTTCACAGGTATCCATTGTTATTCAAATGCTTGGTAAGTTTTAGTCGCTAATAGTAGGGGGAAACTATACTATCTTACCTTTGTTGAATTCAATTTAGGAATTATAAAGTTTGAGACAAAGCATACTAAGTGCTGAGCTTTGAAACTGTTTACTTGTGAAGTATTAAATTTGTATATTTATATGCTTAGAGTATCCGTTGGTAGACTTGTTAAATAGGAAACTCCTGGCGTAAACTTTTGTGTGGCGCAATTGCTTGATTTTGGGTCAAAATAATTCTTGTAAGTTTGCTTAATAGGCGTGGGAAGGATGATGCTTCTGTCATCGTGTTCTGGTTATTAATACTTCATCCGGTTATTGGACATAGAAATCTTAGTGGATATGCTTTGGCCTTTTGATTGTGTTTGGGAGTGTTTTCTCTCCTAGTATATTAAAAGTGCTTTGTCAAATAAAATCATTTTCACTGTGCTTGACTACGTGTGAAAATTTTGTTTATGGATGAAGAAACGTTTAGTGGACACTTCTAATCATTCATGATATTGGTTCAGAATCGGGATTCTATTAAATGAAATCTTCGTTTTTGAGAAAAGAAGTATCTTGAGAAATGGCTTCCCGCTTATTGATTATTGAAGTGTTGTGGTGTGAATCATACTTTTTTTTTTTTTTTTCTTTGGAATTATTTTGGGTTTTTTGTTTAAAGATTTTTAGAAAAGCATTTCTTTTATCAAACAATCTTTCAAAGTCACAGACTTCTGAATTCTGGTGTTAGCTATTGTTACATTTACTCGCCTGTTATCTTATTCTTCCCTTCTTTAAAATCTCTCAGAAATTGTCTTATGAAATATTATTCTGGTGTTTTTTAGTTTCTATGAGTTGAATCTCGGATAACTTGAGCAGTAGATACAATGATCGTCGTTTACTTTTATGCCTTATCATAATATCCATTGATTAATTGATTTAGCTACTAAAAAAAGCCTGCATTTCCTTCATGATCTATATGATGTTTGCTGCTTCTTGAACACAATGTAGACTATGACATTAACCCAATGAGTTGTGTGCCTGTATTTCTTTCATGGTCTGTATGCTGTTTGCTGCTGCTAGAATGCAATATAGACTATGACATTAAACCGAGGGTGTGTTGTGCCTGTATTTCTTTCATGGTCTATCTGATGTTTTCTGCTACTAGAACGCGATATAGACTATGACATTAAACCAAGGTTGAGTTGTGCCTGCATTTCGTGTTTTCTGCTACTAGAATGCGATATAGACTATGACATTAAACCGAGGTTGAGTTGTGCCTGCATTTCGTGTTTTCTGCTACTAGAACGCGATATAGACTATGACATTAAACCAAGGTTGAGTTGTGCCTGCATTTCGTTCATGGTCTATATGATGTATGCTGCTGCCAGAACACGATAAAGACTGACATTTAAGGATGAGCTGTTGTAACAACTTCCATGATTTATCCTCATGTTCTGGATCAGGATTATTCTCTCTTCTCACTTGTGATTTGTGAATCTGTGATTGGTACTTTTGTTATTATCGTTGAGAACCATATTTGTTACCATATTCTTCTTATCCAGGTTCCCCTTCCACCCAAGTTTTGATTGAATGATTCATTCGGTTGAGTGAAACTCTTTCTCCTGAATTGGAAATTGGATTTGAAATTATTGAAGTGTTTACTACGCCTCTGCAATTTCGCCCTTTTCGATAAAGGTTGGTTTGAAGTATTCTTTCCAGGTTTAAGATGCTGAACATATGAAATTAGCTGCGTTGGTTATGGAGTTGTTTGCTATAGTTTTTTTTTTTTTTTCTTTGTTTTTTGCTTTTTATAATAATTTTTTGTTTTAAACATATAAAAAGTTGTCACGAGATGATTAATCGTGAGAGGTACATAGAGAGGTCTTAACTATGCCTAAGAAACTTAATTGAATATAGATATGTTATATTAATGATTATGGATAAATTTTTCTAAATGTTTTTAGTATTACTCGTCTCAACATTGAAGAATCTTTCTTTTATCTTTTTATCTCTCGACTTCTCGGGATGGGGGCAACTATGGAAAAGCTATGCTCGTGTTGGTATATGTAAACGTATGAATGTGCACATACTTTGAGAAGGAAATGAAACTATTACATGCACATGCTTGAAGAGAATAGTCCAACTCTAGAATTCACTTTGCATTCGTAGGTAAAATTTCAAGTAGATTTAACTAGTTAGCTTTGTCTTTTGCATCTCTTTGCCTATGATTCTTGTCTCATCATGCATCTATTTATAGCTTCTTGCCTATAATTCTTGTCTCACTGGAGGAGAGTGCAAGGGATCACCAATCAAGACTTTTTCACACTTTTACCAAAGAGTAAAAATATTTCGACGATCAAACTTGAATTAGGTTTGGCACTATTGAATGTGTATTAATGGGAAACTAAAAAGCATGAAACGGAATTTAACAAAGATAATTGCTTTAATAACTTTAAGAGATTCAATATATGCTTAACGCACGAAAGAGAGCATCTACTAAAGCGACTTTAATGTTAAATCCCAAAGACTTGAAGGAAACGTTTCCAAGTTAAGCTAGACCATAATTAATATCAAGTGTAATACCTTGTAGTTCGTAGAATTGCATTACGTCATTTATGGGTCGGTAATCTCAAGGACTAAAATGGAGTATTATTGAAATGTCCTGTCAAAGAGAGAGTTATGCCTCTAAAAGATCGCTTATTAGCATGGGCAAGGAAGAGAAGAAGAAAAAAGCAGGGCAATATGATGAGTGGTAGCTATCTTGTCAAAAGGTTGCCTAATGTTATTGTGGTTATCCTCAAATTATGATAGTGGATTAGGATTTTAATCCAAATTTTGGTGAGCAAAAAAGAAGCTTAAGTGATTGTCTTAATCCAAATTAAAAATGCACTACCACTCCCTTAACTGCACTTAGCATCATAATCTAAAGCATATACATTCATTGCACGTTTAAGTATGGAAAATCACACAAAGTTCAAGATGTTACCCAATGAGTTAATCTATCCGTGTGTATAATTGAAGCAAGAAAACGATAGGCATAAAAAAGCAACATAATGGTTCAATCTCATGAAACATCAATTATTCAAAGGAAGGAAATTGAGACCTCAATGTGCTTAAAAGTTTGATTTGTCTTTCATTTTAACTAGGGTATGGGTAGAGCCAACCCTGCCCAAAGAACTATTAAGGACGAGTCCTTCCATTGCTAATAACCATCGAAAGGCTATAGTTATACACGAGTCACCTAGAAGTACAATATGTGATGTATGTAAAGTAAAGGAGAAGAAGAAAACTTATCTTCGAAGCGCCGATGATTTCTTTCTTTCTAAAGATTTCACATCTCCGAAAATCTTTTTCTTTCTACTAAAAGGTCAGCCATCGAGTATTTTCGAGAACCAACCGTCCACCCTTTTTGAAAAGTTCGTAGACTCCTTGAATGCTATTAATATGAAGGAACTTCCTTTTACCACAAAGAATAGTGAATGAAAATGTGCTCAAATATTTCTTTCATTAATGAGAAAAAATGAGGAAAAAAAACCTAAATTTGTAGCGGAAAGAAACACAAGACAACATTTTTATTATAGTTACACGAAACGAAAGTATTTCAAAACGTTTGTAACACAAAACTATTACAATGTCATAAATAATTACAACGAAAGAGAAAATGTTTAGGGATACATTCAAATCTTTATCCACTAATAATTTTCTCATATTCTTTTTCGAAGTAGACATGAAAAAGGAAAGAAAATGATGGCGCAAAAGAAATGGTATATAAAAGAGAAAAAAGAAGAGAAACTTGGGCATTTGAATGATGAACACTATTGGATGAACATGAAGGAATAGAAAGAAAGCCAAGAAAACAAGCATCTAAAATAGGACAAACACTATAAAGATGTTTTGGGCATTTTCCTCTCTCTCTGCCCAAAAGAATCACCAAATTATAGAACCCAAAAAAGCTCCAATAATGTACATTTTGAAGCTCTATCCAATACTTTATAGGACACCCACCACAAGAATTTGAATCGAAAGAGAGAAAGGGAAAGAGCATCACCAAATACCATTCAACAAAAACATATATTGAGGTTGCTTTAATGGGGTTCATTGAAAAGCTACCCATTCATTCATTCATTCATTTATTTATTCGTTTATTTTTGCAATCTCTCTATAAAATTCTTTCTTTTTTAACAAAAGGAAAACCTGAATTGACAAGATGAGCAATAGGAGGGGTAGGATGCAGGGGATGGTGGCATTAACCCATGCGCACTTTGACCCACAACTTGTCATCTATCATCCCCTGTCTCTCTTTATTTTCTCTTTTTGGCTTTTTTCTTCTTTTTCTTCCTTTGCTTACTCCATCATCCTTCCTAACACAATTGTCTTTCCCCATCAAATTATTTTCACTTTTGTATATAATGGATCAGTCTAAGTACTTTTTAAAAAAACATATATTATTCCATACGATATTCAGTCTTTTAAGTTTTAAGCTATAGGAGGAAAGAAAAGGAAAAGAAGATTGGTCAAGTTTCCGCCTATGTAATTTGATGTTTGCTTTTGGTGAAATAGAAATCTCCTAATTCGGTTGATCATTTCGGTATGGGATTTTAGGTATCATACCGTATTATATGTTTAGGGTATTTGGTTCCTTGTATAACTCTTAAGTTAAGCAGTTGAGCATGTGTTTGATATGTTGAGTGACTCACTTGTTCAAGCTACTAGTTTGGTAATTCGGTATGTGTCTTCACAATTATAAGTTCCTAAAGAATCCACAAACTTGTACTTCTATAACCTATTCCTTTTTACACTACAAATCCATAATTTAAGTCAAACATCATGGCAAACAAAACATCATGGCAAGTTTGAGAAGTGCTTCTAATGGACGAAAACAATTTTTGTTTTGCAAAGTCATCTTAAGCACACCCTCGATCAAAGTATGATATTGAATAGCAATAGTAGTTGTTCATTATGAATTATTCTCTCCTTTGCTTTGAAGTTTGTACCAAAATTTGTGAGTTCATTCAAAAGGGCAAAGGAAACAATAATATTGCTTAGCAACACTCTACAACCCCTTAATATTAGAGGAAAAACGGAGCCTAAAGAACATTGCCAGGAAGGAGCCCTCCTGTTTCATACTGGCTGGAAGTTTGTTCGCGATCATCACCGGATATATAACATATTCATATGATTTAACATATTCATATGATGTACACTACAAGTACAATTGCAGAAAGACTGAACCATCTGTGAAGTTTCTGATACTATTGGACAGGAAACATGCTGAAATCTGTACCTTTCCCACATATCTACTAACAGCTTCCCACCCAAATCTCAGACACACTCACAGCTGAGTGAGGGAGAGAAAAAAAGACAAAGAAAGAGAAATGGTCAAAATGTTTCTAATGACAATGTTGACTAAGCAGTCCACTCAATCAGACAAGAGCCTCAAGTGTGGGGAAGCAGTATTTTTTGTTTTTCAAGTTCTCTTTTCTTCGGTAAAGATTATGGTATTACATGAATCAGAGAAAAGCTCTTTATTGAATGGAAGACTAACTTTCAAAGCAAGTATACAATTGCTTGCAAGTGTGGCTGTTCCCTCCACCAATCAGACAAGATTTTCCACTCTGAAAGTAACTTTTTACCTTACTGACTGAGTGTGGTTAGGACCTCAGCTACACTCTATGTCTTTTAGCAGCTAGTAAAATGTGATCCCCAGTTCCACCAACAAGCTAAGATTTGACCAGATTTTAAAAATAACATGCTTGATTGAAGCAATTTTACACGGTTGGCCATTAATTTTTTAGCAGCTCAACATCGTGCAACTCTAGCATCTAGTATCACTTTCCCGGACGACAGAAACTTGACAGTGATTGAAACAACAAGACTAAGAAATAATGAACTAAGGTTAAAGTTTGAATTAATCTTATTTTCCAAAAACCATCAAGTCAACAATATCATTTTGCGAAAAAAAAAAAAAAAAAAAAAAAAAAATTTATATGGAGTGCTGGGTGTTGACAACTTTCGTACGACGATGTTTCAATTGACTAGGTCCCTTATGATGTAGGATGACGTTGAAGTTTTCTACTGAGTCTAGATCTCTATCGACTTTGAAAGTTCATATATCATGTAAATTTTTCGACATACTTAGAGAAGATATTGCAATGTCTACTACTTTCATTCAATCAGATTATATACCTAAACCAAAGATCTTAATTACAGAAAAGTGCCTTTCTTTCACCTCAACTTTAAAATTTTAATCTCTTCGTTGTGCTAAACAAATATACATCGGGACTTGGTAAGAAAGCCAAATCTGAAAAAAGATGAACCACCAATAAAAGATTTGAGTACTCTGCATCTCTCAGCAGTGTTTTTAAATCTAGTCTATTTCCAGTGACACAATAAATAAGCCTCGAGTTATCTATCTTTATAAAACTTAATTCATAACTTTACATGAATATAATATAATATGATAGTTAGTGCCTTGAAAATTGAAGTTTTTTTTTCAGCTACTTCTGCCTTTCTAGTGATGTCCTCCCTCCTTTTCCTTCTCCTTTTCTATCTTTTTGTGGGAAGGTGGGAGAAGGTTGAGTATGCATTTAAAATTGTGGCCATTATCTTTAATTATTGCTCTGAAATTTAAAGGATAAGATGTAAATGATTGGA